TGATCATTCAATTCACATTCTCTTTTCTGAGCTCGATCCTAGATCCTCACACTAACGGCTGCTCTACAGCTTACTGGCTACGTAGATGCTGATCACGTTGGGGACGCAGACAACAGGAGGTCCCACACAGGCTTCATTTTCAAACTTGAGCCTGCAGGAACCATCTCCTGGAACTTACAGAATCAGGAGCTCATCGCCCTTTCGTTAGTAGAAGCAGAGTTCATCGCAGCAAGCGCAGCAGCTCGCGAAGGAATCTAACTCACGGAGCTCCTACAGGAAACAAAGAAGGCAATGAACGGGTCCTTCAAGTTACTCTGCGACAACCAGAGTGCAATCAAAATTGCAAACAAGTCGGGCTTCGTCAACCGCACAAAACACATCGCCCTGCGTTACTTCTTCGTCAAGGACGAAATTGACAAAGGAAAGGTACCGCTCATCTAGTGCCCAACTGGCGAGATGGCAGCTGATTTTCTGACGAAGAAACTGTCACGTCAGAAGTTTCAGTACTGCTCAGACCTGTGCGGGGTCGTCTGAAAGAGCCACGTGGCACACCTCTAGAAATGAAGGGGGGTGTTGGAGTATGAAGGGAATTATACATAGAATTCCCGTAGGTGCAGCAGTATCGCACCCATCATTATCCAAGAAGCGCTAGCAGCAGTATCGAATCATCCCGTATCAAGGGCAGGAAGGTCAACAGTCGCAAGAGTCAACTGTTGCGACTGTTGACCATCTGAACCGACGATTGACTTACCATGGCAACAGGCGTAACTGTGTGTACGGTTATACGCAGCGACTCGGTAACAAGAAGAAGTGCAATGGTCAGAGTCACTGTAGAAATGCCTGTAAAGCAGTTAGAATAAGGGAATGTACCCCTCAGACCACATGGTTAGTTAGATCTATTTATTGTGTGTATTTTCATGTTTTAATAAACTTTGTCATTTATATTCAATATGACCAAATTTCCTACCATAAGAATTCCGCTACCAAACTCTTCAAGGCACTCCTATCCTATCCAAGGTCCTCACTCTAACAAACAGAACACATTAGAATTCAGGTTATGTTCAAAACGAACTTCATACATTGTTCCAATCATTTCAGTAAACACCTACCAGTACATTTAAGCATAGCGATCTTGTCGAGGATGGCTTCGGCAGCACCTAGGAGCCATGCATGCCGCAACCACAACCACAACGCTGCGGATTCGCTTTCCGTCCCTCTCATGTCAGAACAACACAATGTCAGCAGAACGCCAGCAGCAGGATCCTTTCGTATGACACGACGAAATCAACAATTCCTTTATGGATGAGGATTCACCATTCGCATTTTCCGTGATTGTGGTTTGTGTGTGTCCATCAAAATACGCGAACATGTAGGAGGTAGGATCGTCAGAATATGGGCAAGATTGGAGTGTGGATTCTAGCTTTGGGGGGAGGCGTATTAACCCTCCTTTACCATCTTCCGTGGACGTACATCGCCCTTGACCTTCTCGGAAACTACCGCGATGTGCTGCGTGCAGTGCAAGAGGTATTATTTTTGTCAGAAACCTCATCTTAGAAGGTACTGAGAGGTATTCCGACTAAGTAACATTTATTGGAGATCTAAACTAGACTCAATCAGCAAAGCCGGTCTCCCTTTTCGTGCTTCTCCCGCCTACAGCCTTTCATCTCGTTCCAAGAAATCGTCAATCAAGGCACCTGTGGCATCAGCAACGCCAACGATGCCAACTCGTTCTGGCCCACATGCGGGATGTAGGTCAGGTGGAGGTGGGTGAGGACGCCCACGCTGCTCTAGAGGTGGAGGATTGGGTGATCTTCCTATGCACCAATGGCAAGCAGGATGCAGAGGCTGAGGCACAGCATGATAACAACAACAACGGATAAGCGCACGCATCACTACGACGCATTCTACGGCCTCTACCTCGACCCCCTGCGCCTGCCGCGACAGTTTCTTGATACCGAAACTATCAGAAAGGTACGCGCGCAAAAGCGAAGGCAATCGGCGTGGGAGATTCCTGAGGTAAACATGCTGGAGATCGGGCTCGAATACGGCGACTCGTTGAAGCTCAGGAAGCGAGCGTTTTCGAGAGGCAGAATTTACGGGATTGATAATGGAGTCATTTCGAAGGTGAGGGTCCTGTGAAAAATCGGAAATAGAACAGATTAGATAGATGTAGTTTATAGACATCTCTGTTGTAGTCTAGTCGGTTAGGATGCTCGGCTCCCTAAGAGACCCGGTTCAAGTCCCGGCAACGAAAATGAACCACTTTTGCATCCCCTCTGTTCTTGTTTATCCCCCATCCCCATCCTCTACGCGCTTCATGGCCTCAGAAGCACCAGGCAGAGGTTGGGGACCCGCAGGTGCGGCTGATGGGGTGTCTTCCCCACCTCATGGCCATGTTTATCCCATGCCCATTCCATGCCCATCCCATGCCTATTACATGCCTATCCCCCATGTCCGCATCTCCCCAAAGCACCAGGCAGAGGCACGGGACCCATGGGTGCGGCTAATGGTGTCTTTCCCCTGCCTCGTGACCGTGTTCATCCCACAATCACCCTTGCGTTTCTTTCTTCTCTCATCTCCACAAAAGCACCAAGCGGAGGCGAGGGACGCGCTCCGGTGCAAATGATGGGGTCTCTTCCCCACATCCTTTGCCGCCTCCCTGGATTTTACTTATGTCCCTCCCTCGCCTCCCCCGAGTGAGGGAGGAGAGAGAGAGACGGAGAAAGCTACCGCTACCGCTACTGGAGCGCACGGACCCGCAGATAGCTTCGTGACTCGATGTATCTCCCACCGAGTAGGATACCTCACAAGAACCACCCCGCTCAATCTCTTGCCTGGTGATGTACGGTCACAATGGGGTCGGGATCTGCTCGCCACGCTCTTAGTTTTATGTGGAATACAATATCCGTCAAGCGTGGCGGAGCAAACACACGTTTGGGAGCAGGCTTCATTACCGACGTCACTCGGCGGGATTGGTCTCACGGACCCCACAGTAGAGGGCGTATCAGGTTTCCTCTCCAGTTTCACCTAGGCGTCACTGCTACTGAGCTCACTGCCGCTCGCACAAGGGGACGTTTTGACTGCTGCTAAGGATCACATGCTTCTGCCAAGGGATACACGTACAGCCCTACATTCGTGGCTAACGGAGTGTGAAGCGGCACTGCCTCAAGAAGCACGGGAGATTTTGGAGAAGGAGAGGATGGAGCCGGCGGGAATAAGGCTGCAGCATGCCCTTTCAGTGCAAGTCCAAGGGGGTAGATACGCGAAGCAGGTCCAGGAGTCAAGGAAGGTGGCACCGAATCCCCTGTGTGGACATACCAAACGCTTCTTCTCTCTAACCGGCTATGGTGCTGGGAATTGGCTGCTGGCAATCCCAATCGAGTCAACATGGTGGATTGGACCTGAGCACTTCGCAAACGCAGTTCGCTTTCGGCTGGGCCTACCTCTCGCAACACCGGCGAAGAGTGACAGCTCAAAACACGTCGAGATCACTGACCCGGGTCTGCCCAACCATCTATTTCGCTGCTAGAACAGACAGGATCAACACGCACAACGAGCTTCGGGATGCCTGCGTCAGCATGGCGCGGGATGCGGGCTTCATCGTTCACAGAGTGTCAGCGGCCTACTGCCCAGTAGAAGAATAAACGGCAGACCTAACAATGATGGACTGGAGCTCAGGCGCAGTCTACATCTGTGATGTAACTATCACGGATCCGATTAGTACCCGGGACAAGACGGCTGCCAAGGGGAGGGGATGGGCAGCACGGGAGCAGGCGGATAAGAAGATTAAACACTATGCCAGCCGGCCTGACATGGTGGGCTTTTTCCCCCTTGCCGTTGAGACCTACGGGTGCCCGTGTGCGGAGGTGCTCGTGTTCCTGAAACTGCTGGCGGACTCTGCTACTAGGCGTCACTTCAACGCCGAACCTCACTCATTTCATGCAGCTAGATTCCTCCACCTTTTCAGGCAGAGGTGGTCCGTGGCGCTGAAGAGGGCCCAGTTAGTTGGGTACCTCATGAAGTCTTGTCAAGCAGCTATGGCAGAGGACCCACCTGTTGGGGGAACACAACACGAGCTCCACCTTGGTGATTGCCTCACCATGATTGATCCCCTAGTGGAGGTTTAAAGGGGCAGGCCGTAGGAGTTTGGGAAGTTTGTTGGGTTGTTTGTGTCCTGCTAGTTTAGTCTCTGCATGTTGTGAATTGCTAAACCTTGCATGTTTGTACCCTTTGGCTTTATCAATGAACGGACCATTAGAGGGAGAAAGGAGGTGGAGGGAGCATCCCCCGAGAATGTTGATGGAATTAGAGCATAACACGACGAGCATGCCCATGTAGACCTTGTACAGTACGTCCAGGGCCCACACAGCCACCTCCCCCCATTCCACATCCCCCCTTCCTCAGGTGCATGCAGCCTTAGTAAAGCACATTGACACCACACTCACCGCAGCCGCAATCAGAGCAGTCTGCCCAGCTTTCAGCCCGTTCACCCCCACGAGGATGTTGGTGGAGTTGGAACAAAACACGACGAGCATGCCCATGTAGACCTTGTACAGCACACCCAGGTCCCCTGTCCCCAGGTCACAGGCCCCCAGGTCCCAGGTCCCATGTCCCACACGCACGCTCTTTCTGCAAAAATCTTACACTTACTTACCGAGGCAGCAATCACAGCAGTCTGCCCTGCTTCCAGCCCATTCACTCCCGCAGGATGATAATCGAATTAGAGCAGAACACGATGAGCATGCCCATGTAGACCTTGTACTGCACGCCCAGGTCCCATACGGCGACCTCCTCGCTTGCCAGCCCTGCCAGCAGCGGCCGCAACGGCTTTTGGATGGCGATGGTGGTGTGGCCTGAATAGACCATCAGGAGAGGCAGCGTTGCGATTGAGGGGAGAATGAGCTTCCAGCAGAATGGGCCAGGGGGATGAGGGACGAGAAGAGAAGGGAAGCAACCACATGGCTTGGGGATGACGATGGTGGTGTGGGCCGAATAGGCCATTAGGAGAGGCACTGCTGCGATTGAGGGCAGAATGCGCTTGCTGCGGGTGGGGAGGGGGAAAGGGGAGGGACAAGCATGAGGCTTGGGTGGGTGGGAGCGGCCGCAGCAGCTTGGGAATGACGACCGTGGTGTGGCCTGAATAGGCCATAAGCAGCAGCGGGGTTGCGATTGAGGGGAGGATGAGCTTGTTGTGGGGTGGAGATTAGGGGGTCAAAGGGAGGGAAAACCACATGGCCTGGGGATGACGATGGTGGTGTGGCCCGAGTAGGCCATGAGGAGAGCGAGCGCGGCGATTGAGGGGAGAATGAGCTTGCTGTGGGGAAGAATGTGCGGGAAGGAGGAAGCGGAAGCGTGGGAATGAGCTTCCAGTGCAGTGAGGAGAGCGGGTGGAAAGGGACAAAGATGTTTCGAATCATCGGGAGGCTTGGGGTGGGGAAAGGGGGGAGCATTTACTTGCTAGAACGTTCACAGTCGCTTCTTTTGGGTAGGGCCCCGAAAATGGGGAGCGTTGGGGTGGGTGGGGAGAAAAGGAGACAACTCAAAACAAACTTGGGATTTGCCATGTACACTCGGTCATTAGGTAAGAGGCAGGGGATGTGCACGTCGCTTGAAGTCAACGCAGAATAGCTTGTGAAAGGACCCCATCCCCATCTCAACCCCCAGTACCACCAACCCCAGCACCACCTCCCCCAACACCACCACCCCCAGCACCACCCCCAAATTCCCTCTAGCACCACCCCCAAATTCCCCCCCCTAGCACTCATACGCGCCAAGGGATGTCAAGCACATCGTCAATGAATCCCAGGAAGGCCATGTAGCAGATGCAGGCGAGCGCTGCATTGTACTCGAGTAACCACTGGCAGTTGAAGGGAGGTGAGAGGACTGGGGGTAAGGGGAGCAGGGGGAGAGTAGAAGTAGGTAAGACCACAAAGCAGATGCAGGCCAGAGCTCTTTGTACTCTACCCAACGGCCAATAAAAGGTGGGGGCGGAGCGGAGGGGTAGAAGGAGGGGGTGCTGAAAGGTAGGGGTTGATAGATAAATCACTCGAGCAACCACCTGGTAATTACCAAGCGTGCCACCTGAAAAAACAGCTGAAGAATCATCTGGAGGGGCACTCACAAGCCAGTCAGGCGTGAAGTAAAAGTGCTGGAAGAGAATGGTTACCACCAGGTACACGAGCGCCACCACCAGTCCCTGCGCCTCGGGTCTGGGGAGTGTGGGGGATGGGGGCATGGAGGCATGGGTCATCGGTGGCAAGTCACAATGCTACACCTACCCACCCAGTCTCCCACCAGGTACACGAGCGCCACCACCAATCCCTGCGTCTCGGGTCTAGGGAGTATGGGGGATGGGGGCATGGAGGGATGGGGTCATGGGGATATGGGGGCATGGAGGCATGGGGTCATGGGGGGGGCAAGTCACAATACTACCTACCTACACGAGGACCACCACCAGTCCCTATGTCTCGGGTCTAGGGAGTGTGGGGGAAACATGGCATGGCAGGCATGGGGGCATGCGGCCATGGGGGGCTTGAGGGTACATGCACGCGTGTGATAAAGGATAGTGAGCATGCTACCTACCGACCCATTCAGTATCCCACCAGGTACCGAAGGACCGGTCCATGCATATCAGCTTTTGAGTCGACTCAAAAGCATGGGGGGCTTGAGGGTGCACGCATGCGTGATAATGGAAAGTCAGAATGCCACCGAACCATTCAGTCTCCCACCAGGTACAGAAGGGCCGGTCCATATGCCTCATGGCTGTATAGGAAGTGTGGGGGAAGCACACTGCAACGCAGTGGAGAAGCGAAGTCCTTGGCTGACAAAGGGAGGTCACGATGTTACCCACCTAGTCTACCACGGCGTACACGATGGTCACCATGAGACCCACGTTACCCAATTACCAGGTTACCGGGTCATTTCCAGTGAAATAACCCCTGATAGAATGGACGACACACTATTCCATATGGGAGTCAGCTGATAATTGTGCTCGTTACCATCACATATGAAAACAATTTTCCTTGACGCAACTACACCAGACACCAACCTCGGTGGCGGCCTTTCGTTATACTCACATCTTGATTTCTCCAGCCGGGGAACCTTGCTTATTTATATCGTATCCGACCATGTTTCTCTGCAACATATAAGGCACCGCCATTGGAATCAGCTTCTTCGTTATAACGAATCCCGCGACGCTCATAACGGCGTTGATTGTAATGGACTGTCGCTCTAATGGATCAAGCTCCATTACGAGAAACGCCACTATAAGGGGAGTCAGGACGCACACCGCAAAGATCCTCACGTGGACGCGCCGCGACCATCTATTCAATGGCGGAGCTATGATGATGTCACGGGAAGCATCGTCTGGTTTGCCGTCAGCGACGCTTTTCGAATCTGCCGTCGCGACGCTTTTCGGATCATCTGCCGTCTTGATTTTGTTCTCCGTGCTTGTGCTTGACTGCGAGCCATCACGCGGCTCCAACATCAAGGCTGTTCTGCTCAAAGTACAGCCTGAATCTAACGTCAAAGGCTCGCAGATTAGCGGCTAAGCAGAGAAAAAAGTGTAAGCTTGGGAAGCCGATAATTCTGACGGCGATTCTAGACGGAGAGATGGCGGAAAGCGCTCCACAAGCAGGCAGCTCGAGATGATTGAGCTGTCTATAGACGTGCAACAACAAGCAACAACAAGGGATGCAACAGTCGACGTGATTGAGCTGTCTATAGACATTTGAAGTAGAACAAGGTTGGTTGAGAAGCGTCAGCCATGGCGTTGAAGCTTGCACTGCTGGTTGAGCTCTCTTCGAAAAATGCTATCAATAGGATCATTTGTCAAGAAAACATTGATTCTAGATTCTTGTACAGTGCATCCGTTATTAGCCTCTCCCCATTGTTCTACTATACTCCTTGTATGCACTGAATGAGTGAGTCCGTCGTTCGAGAAAAAAAAAAGAGTATGAAGCACCATATCAAAAGGAATTAATGAATTAAGAGATCACATCTCAATTGGAAAAAGCATCGTACACGTTGATTCGCCTCAGTAGCTCAAGAGCACGTTCACGTTAAGGAATTGCAAATCTACATATCATATACATACTATATGAAGCCATATTCAACAGCTGCATGATTGTCAGAACTATGCATTTATATGCTCTAGGCTGTAGTGGGGCACTTCTTATGGGGTACAGCACAATTAGGTTTTGCACATACAAACCCTGTACTGCTGTCATTCTAGTCATCCTTGATTCCTACTCTTTGACATGGTTTCAGAGCAGGTTCCCTAGTGGGAACGTTTTTTTTAGGGCCCACTACGATTTTTTTTTTTTCTGCCCTGCCCGAAGCGCGCCTCGCGCCCGCCTCACCTGTGCCGTCGCGCGCCCTGCCCTACCGGCCCATCGCGGCCTCGACCTAGCCGCCCATCGCGGCCCTGCCCTGTTGCCGCCCGTCGCGGCCCTGCCCTGACGCCGCCCGTTGCGGCCCTGCCCTGACGCCGCCCATCGCGGCCTGACCCTGTCGCCCATCGCCACCAGACCCAGCCGCCCGTCGCGGCCTTGCCTTGCCGCCACCCGTCGCGGCCCTGCCCTCAGCCGCTCGTCGCGGCCCTGCTCTACCGCCGCCCCGTCGCGGCCCTGCCCTACAGCCGCCCTGTCGCGGCCCTGCCCTGCTGCCGCCCCGTCGCGGCCCTCCTCTACCGCCGCCTTGTCGCGGCCCTGCCCTGCTGCCGCTCCGTCGGGGCCCTGCTCAAACGCCTCGTCGCGGCCCTTCCCTAACCGCCAGTCGCGGCCCTGTACTGCATCCGCCCCTGGTAAGCGCCCGCCCTGCCAAGCGCGCCGCTGCGCCCGCTTGCCTGCCGCGCCGCACCGCCCAGCCGAGCCGCGCCGCCCTGCCGAGCCGCGCCGCCCTGCCGAGCCGCGCCGCTCTGCCGAGCCGCGCCGCCTTGCCCTACTGCTACTACTGCTGCTACTACCACCATGGCTAGCACTACTGTTCTTACCTTCGATGCTGAGGGTCGTGTGGTCGATTTCAAAGTTTGGGTAGATGACCTGCAGCTCTATCTTCAGTGCGACTCTAGGGACGGAGTCTCGCTTTTCGATCACACGTCCGGCGCCTCTGTTGCACCTGCTGCCGATGCTGACAGTACGGTTTGCTCGCAGTGGACTACTCGTGACACTGTTGCTCGCCTTGCTGTTCGTAGTCACCTGCCGTCTGCTGAGCGCGCGCACTTTGGCCAGTACAAGACTGCTAAGTCTTTGTATGACGCTGTGGTCGCACGCTACTCCTCCCCTGCCACTGCTGCTCTCAGTCGCCTCATGATGCCGTACTTGTTCCGTGACCTGGCCGCCTTTGCCACAGTCGCTGACCTCATCACTCACCTCCGCACTAGTCACACCCGCTACCGCGCTGCGCTTCCCTCCGAGTTTCGCGCCAAGAACCCCCCCCCCCCCCATGTACATCACCCTCTTCTACCTCGTCACCCGTCTCCCTGACTCTCTTCGCTCAGTCAGGGACCACTTTCTCTCCCTTTGCCCCACAGAGCTCACTGTCGACCTGCTCGAGGAGCGCCTCACTGCAGCTGAGACTAGCATAGTCGCTGTAGGAGCTTCTCGCGGCGACCCTCGCGCCCCTTTCTTTGAGGGGTGTTCCCCCATTCCCCCTTTGCCCTCTGTTGCTTCTGCTGCTGCTGTCGACCTCGTTGGCACCGAGGCGGTCGAGGCTGCGTCTGCTCCTAGTGGGAGGCGCCGCAACGGCAAGGGCAAGGGGGGCAAGGGTGGTGGAGGGGACGGCGGGGGCGGCGGTGGTGGCGGTGGAGGAGGCGGAGGGGGTGGGGGTGGAGGTGGGGGTGGTGGCAGGAGTGGGGGCGTCGGTGGCGGCGGTGGAGGTGGGGGCGGCAGCGGCAGCGACAGTGGGGGTGGCGGCGGCGGTGGTGCTGGTCGGGGTGGAGCCACGCAGCGTGGAGGCTTTGGCGGTAGCCAGCGACAGCAGCAGCCGCGTTTCCGTGAGGCCCCGTCACCCCAGCAGCTTCGTGAGTGGTACGCTGGGCGTGGGAGGTCTGGGGGTGCTGGTCCCTGTGCTTACGTTCTCCGCACCAGCGAGCACCGTGGGGAGACGTACGGGTTGCCACATGCGACGCAGCACTGTTTCGGTCGCCTGTCTGACGCCTGGCGTGCACAGTTTCCTGACACCACTGAGCTCCCTCGTTGGGCTAATCTGCTTAAGTCTGGTGTTGCTATCTTTGATCTTGATTACGATGCTATCTTTGCTGCCATGTATGCTGTGACTATTAGTGCTGAGGGTGACTGTTACCTGTGTGTGCCGCTCGAACCAGGTTTAGAGGCTGCTGCTCTAGGTGCTAGTGAGTCTGCTGCTCCAGGTACTAGTGAGTCTGCTCTCTCAGGTACTGCGCCTGCTGAGGCCTTGCACACCTTCACGCTTGACTCAGGTGCTTCCCGCTCCTTCTTTCGCGAATGCACCACACTCACGCCGCTCAGTCGGCCGGTTGCTGTCTCCCTGGCGGACCCCTCTGGGGGCCCAGTCCTTGCGCATTCTCTACGGTTGTGCCGTGTCCGGCGGTCCCGTCTGGCTCACTGCTGGGTCTTCACCTCCCCTCGTTCTCTACGAACTTGGTGAGTGGAGCTGACCTCCAGGACGTGTGGGTCGGCCAGTTCACTCCTGGAGGTCAGCGGGTGACCCAGTGTACGTATACTCGGACGGGCCGCCACCTGGCCACGTTCACCCGTCGGCCTGGGTCGAGCCTATACATACTGACTACTGCGTCTCCGCTGGTTGCTGAGTCTGGTCAGGTAGCCGCGTCTGGTCAGGTGTTTGCTGCCGCGTCCAGGTCTGGTCCGGAGTCTGCCCCCTGCTCGTGTCGTCTCCTGTGACACCAGACTCTCCTTTGGCACCACCGCCTTGGTCACCCCTCCCCGCCTCGTCTCCGAGGTATGGCCTCCCGTGTCCTTGTCACTGGTCTCCCCCGGTCTCTCCCTCCCCTCCCCCCGGGGCCTGCCCCTACCTGCGTTCCTTGAGTCGAGGGACGGCAGCGCGCCGCTCCTCACTCCTCCGAGTTCCCTCCAACGGAGGCTCCCCTGCAGACTCTCCCCATGGACGTGTGGGGCCCAGCCCGCGTCCGTGGACAGGGTCACGAGCGTTACTTTCTGCTGGTCGTTGACGACTACTCGCGTTACACCACAGTCTTCCCCTTGCGCCGCAAGGGTGAGGTCACTGAGGTGCTGATCGACTGGATCCGCGCTGCTCGTCGCCAGCTCAGCGAGAGTTTCGGCTCGGACCTTCCTGTTCTGCGTCTGCACTCCGACAGAGGTGGAGAGTTTTCCTCCGACCTTCTGCGGGCCTTTTGTCGTGCGGAGGGCATCCGCCAGACGTTCACGCTTTCGGCCTCCCCACAGCAAAATGGGATTGCTGAGCGCCGCATTGGCATGGTCATGGACGTCGCTCATACGTCCATGATCCATGCGGCTGCTCCCCATTTTCTGTGGCCGTTAGTGGTTCAGCATGCAGCGCATCAGCTCAACCTCCAGCCCCATGGCTCCATGCCGCAGACCACACCTGCTCTGCGG